AATGATGCCCCCTGGTGCTAGCCTGCCCCTCTGTTTGTTTGTGTGTGTGTCTGCTTGCCAGCAATCTGGAGGAGATCCAGAAGATCTCATCCTCCAAGCTAAATTCTGTATGCCTCGACATCCCACTTTCTCCACAGAAATACGCTCTTGTCTGTGCATACTGCAGTATTTAGGATATATTCATATCCTGACAGATGCCCTGAATTAGTTGACTTCATAGACATGCATTTGTGAGAGACCAGACAATGCATCACAGCAGTGACAGAAATCGCCTTTCCAAATCATGCCTAATCAATTGAATTTAAAGCAGATGGACTTCGATCAAAGGTTAGAAACATTAAATCTCAAAAGATGATCCGAAAAAATGGGCTAAATTTCAAGAGTCATAGCAAAAGCTTATATAATGTGAATTTCAAGTGTTAAAGCAAATACTTATGTAATGTGATGTTTCTTGTTTTCTTGTTTTCTTTCTTTCTTTCTTTATTTTGCCATAATGTGGTATGGAGTGTAAAACTAATTTTATTTAAAGCATTTTTGCTTCAGGTTGCAACACAAAATGTGAAAAAAAGAAGAGGTTTGAAACTCTGGCCATGGAAATGAGCATGAAGGGGTTTGAATACGTGTGTGTGTGTGTGTGTGTGTGTGTGTGTGTGTGTGTGTGTGTGTGGGTGATGACTCTGTCAGGACTCGGGTCAGGGTTGATAGGGCCATTGACAGCTTCTCAGCAGGCCTGCTGTGAGCCCTGTCAGTCTCTCTACTATTTTCTTCCTCCCATTCCACCCTAACACAGCTCCTCTCTCCCGCTCTCCTCACACTCCTGTCTGCATTTGTACACATTTGCTATGGATTAGCCACGCACATTATATTTTAGCACCACAGGCAGCACTGTTCCTCACAGCAGTGACAGAAATCGCCTTTCCAAATCATGCCTAATCAATTGAATTTAAAGCAGATGGACTTCGATCAAAGGTTAGAAACATTAAATCTCAAAAGATGATCCGAAAAAATGGGCTAAATTTCAAGAGTCATAGCAAAAGCTTATATAATGTGAATTTCAAGTGTTAAAGCAAATACTTATGTAATGTGATGTTTCTTGTTTTCTTGTTTTCTTTCTTTCTTTCTTTATTTTGCCATAATGTGGTATGGAGTGTAAAACTAATTTTATTTAAAGCATTTTTGCTTCAGGTTGCAACACAAAATGTGAAAAAAAGAAGAGGTTTGAAACTCTGGCCATGGAAATGAGCATGAAGGGGTTTGAATACTTTTGTAAGGAACTGTTTATGGTTCAAAAAAAATATATATATTTTTTTTTTTATGTTTATTTTATTTCAGATATCTGATTCCAACTATTCTGCCAACTTTTGCTACGGGGCATATGTTTAAAGAGTTTTATTCTTTCTTTATTTTGCCATAATGTGGTATGGAGTGTAAAACTAATTTTATTTAAAGCATTTTTGCTTCAGGTTGCAACACAAAATGTGAAAAAAAGAAGAGGTTTGAAACTCTGGCCATGGAAATGAGCATGAAGGGGTTTGAATACTTTTGTAAGGAACTGTTTATGGTTTAAAAACATTTATTTTATTTTATTTCAAATATCTGATTCCAACTATTCTGCCAACTTTTGCTATGGGGCATATGTTTAAAGAATTGTATTTATTTTTATTTTTTTTCTGCCATCCCCTTCCCTTGTCCTATATTTGTTACTCTTGGGTTCCCTTCAGCATCAGTTAATTGTCTTTCGATTGATCCAATAGTTTTGCACTCCCCTGGATTTGATTAGCAAAGCGAGAGGGGACAGATGGTACCATTCCTATTACTCAGATTTTTTTATATCTATCTATCTACCTATTTTTTTTATATTTTAGCACCACAGGCAGCACTGTTCCTCACAGCAGTGACAGAAATCGCCTTTCCAAATCATGCCTAATCAATTGAATTTAAAGCAGATGGACTTCGATCAAAGGTTAGAAACATTAAATCTCAAAAGATGATCCGGAAAAATTATTAGGGTTAGGGTTAGAGCAAATACTTATGTAATGTGATGTTTCTTGTTTTCTTTTTTTCTTTCTTTCTTTATTTTGCCATAATGTGGTATGGAGTATAAAACTAATTTTATTTAAAGCATTTTTGCTTCAGGTTGCAACACAAAATGTGAAAAAAGAAGAGGTTTGAAACTCTGGCTATCATCTATTTTTTTGTAGTAGCCTTGTTCTATTGACAAGATTATATGATATTGATTAAGTTTGTTTCCACAAAACCCAGCGTGTGATTGATCCCCTTTCAACCCTCTCTTTCTTTTCAGCAGTTCTTTTTCCACCCCCACTGGTCGTATGCATGCATTTATTGAACCTGTGTGGAACTGACTTGCTGAGCCTCAAGCTGTTAGCCATACAGCCGTACATTTACCACAAAGGTAAAAAGAGAAGCTTAGATATACCAGAGCTTTTAGAAACATTCGTCATCTTTCTTTACCTATGAAGCCATGCATAATTAGTGCTTCTACTTTGACAGACTTTTCCTAATCCATTTTAGGCCTGTTTTGCATAACACTAAAACAACGGAGATTAAATTGACAGTCACATTTACTTAACTGGATGGTTACATTGCATAGACTTCTATCATTTTTATACAGCTAATTATAAATAGTATAAACTAACTTAAACCCATATCTTAACCCAATCTATTTTACAATTTTAAAAAAAAGTTGTTTTTTTATATACAAATTATCTCTTATACAGATGTCCCTGATTGGTTTTTACTCAAGTATAGATCAGTGGTACACACATACACACCATTACAATTCTTATTGCCAATTTGCATGAGACATTTTAAAAACAGCAGCTTTCATCTACAGGATCAAAGCATGTGGCTGAAGCACACTGGTGCTATTGATCAGTCATGGATTGCTGGATTAACTAAGTTGGTCTTTCAATCTATTTAATTCTAGCACATGCACAAGCACATAATAAGACATGCAATTATATAAACCAACTAACATAAACAAAGAGGTTAAAATGTGCAGAAATCAGTATATGCAATATAACATACGGACATGTAATGATAAAAAGCTCAGCTGTAAACTCGCCGAGGGAAGATGTGGGGAACATAATGTGACAAAAGCCTCCTTCAGGATCAGCTGAGAGCTATTCTCTCCCCTTCTGCTAATAACTGGATTAGTTGTGGAGAGACAGACAGACAGACAGAGCAACAGGTCCAAACAAAACAGACACAGATTAAGAAAGGAGGGGGGTGTTGGTGCTTTGGGATCACTATTCCCACATGCATTGGGGAGGGATCCTGATGAGGCTGACTAATTATATCAATATTAGGGGAAAAGGTTGTAGGTGGCAAAGAAAATGAAGAAAAACGAGTGTGACGGTTATTAAAACTAGCCAAAAAATCTAAATAAGGTAGAATTTAGTCCTGAAAATGCTATTTTCTAGAAAATCTTCTAACAAATAGACTATTTTATAATATATTAAATATAAACATCTCTCAACAAATGCTATTTTGTAGCAAAGAGAAGCCAATTCATCTACAGTATGATGCGATCAATGAATCCATATCACTCCATATTCCACAATATCTTTTTTTTGATATTCCATAATATCCATAATTCCATTATTAAATTTTTTTACACATTCATGATTTAAAAAATGGTACTCAATACATATTTTGTCCCCCTGGGGAAAAAAAAAAAAAAATTATAAAAGTAAATAAATAAAAATAAAACAGTTCCAGGGAACAGTTTGTTTAGTGTTGCCAAAACTGAGAAGTACAGTATCATGATGCACTAATGAGGCAATATATAAACTACAGCGCAAAAATAAATAAATAATTTAATTAAATAAAAATAAAAAACTCTGTCAATACCAAACATGGCTGTCTAAAGCCTTTACTCTGGGTAAGTCTGGCCATGTTTGGAGAATTAAAGACATAGAAGGAACAGACAGGACAGAAGGAGAGAGAGAGAGAGAGAGAAAACTATAAAAACAGCTGTGGTGCTAAGGAATTCTGGGAAAATCTAAGAGACAAGAGTCAATTTTTTCACTCTTGACTTGAGATCCTCAGAGACGCTTTATAAACAATGTTAGCTTCAACAGGATATCAAGCAAGATCTGAACATAAGGGAAACTATATTATCCATATCTTTGAAGGACAGCATGGGCTAGTCAACTGACTTCAACTGAAATATTGACTGGGTACTATTGTCCTCTTTTTAGCTGCATGCTTTACAACAGAACTGAATTTTGTTTGCATTCTTGAAACATTATTTTCCTGTTTGCCACTGTAAAGCTGCTGTGGCACAATCTGTACTGTATAAAGCGCTTGACTTGACTTTTCAAGGTGAGGGAGACAGAGTGATTCAGTATGCACAAGAGCACTTACATGGGGCATTTAAATTTATATATATATATGTGACCCTGGACCACAAAACCAGTCATAAGGGTCAATTTTTTTTAAATTGAGATGTATGCATCATCTGAAAGCTGAATAAATAAGCTTCCATTGATGTATGGTTTGTTAGGATCGGACAATATTTGAAAATCTGGAATCTGAGGGTGCAAAAAAATCGAAATATTGAGAAAATCATCTTTAAAGTTGTCCAAATGAAGTTTTTAGCAATGCATATTACTAATCAAAAATTAAGTTTTGATATATTTATGTTAGGAAATTTACAAAATATCTTCATGGAACATGATCTTTACCCATACAATGTATATATCTGGTCATTCTCAAAACCCAAATCACTAGCTAAAGGTCAAATATTACTGAAACTCTTTACATACTGACCAAACATATAGACCAAGTTTTCATTTTTCGAATATCAGAAGTTTTGAGAACTGAGATCTCCCTTGAGTTCCTTTTAAATCATTATATCTCAAGTTTTCCTTCCCTTTAATCACACAAAAATAGAAGCAATGGACTGTGTGCACATATAACTCATTCAAACGCGTTCCTGTTTGAGTTAAAAGCATAAGATTCGTAAGCGGACTTACCTGTCAATGATGACAGGGTCAGATGGTGTCTCATTACGATTGCCGCAGCTTTTTTTCTCACAGCAGCGACTTGGTATGAAAAAGAGAAGATAATGAATGATTAAAACTTGCTCCATGAGACCACTACAATTAAGACTCAGGAAAGGCAGGCCAGCAATCTGTCACATTGATTGTGAATGATCAAGCTCAATCGCTGCTTCTAAAGCACACACACACACACACACACTCACGCACACTCTCTCTCTCTCTCACACACACACTCTCACACACACACACACACTCTCTCTCTCTCTCTCACACACACGCTCTCACACACACACACACACTCACGCACACTCTCTCTCTCTCTCTCACACACACGCTCTCACACACACACACACACTCACGCACACTCTCTCTCTCTCTCTCACACACACGCTCTCACACACACACACACACTCACGCACACTCTCTCTCTCTCTCTCACACACACGCTCTCACACACACACACACACTCACGCACACTCTCTCTCTCTCTCTCACACACACGCTCTCACACACACACACACACTCACGCACACTCTCTCTCTCTCTCTCACACACACGCTCTCACACACACACACACACTCACGCACACTCTCTCTCTCTCTCTCACACACACGCTCTCACACACACACACACACTCACGCACACTCTCTCTCTCTCTCTCACACACACGCTCTCACACACACACACACACTCACGCACACTCTCTCTCTCTCTCTCACACACACGCTCTCACACACACACACACACTCACGCACACTCTCTCTCTCTCTCTCACACACACGCTCTCACACACACACACACACTCACGCACACTCTCTCTCTCTCTCTCACACACACGCTCTCACACACACACACACACTCACGCACACTCTCTCTCTCTCTCTCACACACACGCTCTCACACACACACACACACTCACGCACACTCTCTCTCTCTCTCTCACACACACACCATCGGTGGACCTCCTGTCTGTTCAGGGCACAATCCCCCACCTCAAGCATAACAAAAGTGCCCCCCACCCCCGGCCATCTGCCTATATGCTTTCTCTTTCCCCCCCCAACCCCGTCAGACAGAGTCACTCCCCAGCTGTGTCGCCTGCCCTCTGCACCCCCTTCCCCATCAGCTCTGTTATTAACCAGCTGTGAGCGCCCACTCGGCAATCTGCTGGCTACACAATGGGGGCCTCTGCCCTCCCTAATGCTGTCCTCGAGCCTGAGGTCACCGCAAACCCTCTGTCTTTTCTGTCTCTTTTCTAGCCCAGCTACCATGCACTCCTTATAGACATTAACTTGTGCTAATTCTGTACAGAAAATGTTCGTTATTAATCATTTCATTCATGATATTTAGTCTGTGGACACTCAAAAGTGATCATTGCAGGTCACGTTTACGGTTGTTCTGCGAAATTCAATCATTTCAATAAGCATCCGCAATTAGGAACTTTGTGTGAAGGTGGAAGATTTTGCCCACACAGATTTTGCTCGTGTTCAAGTTGGTCGTGCAAATTTGCCTGGGTTTGATGAAAGTGACTTCTACGTTTTTTTCCTGCAAAATTTCCTTAATGTGACTGTGCCATTAGAGTGACTCTAGAAATACGTTCTTGTTACCTAAGACAAGACAGCGTGCATTATTACTACATTTTAGTGGATTCATTTGGGGGTGTTCTGAGCAAATGTCTTCTCCAGGGTCCGAAAACAGTCATAAATCAATGTTACTCAATATTTTGTAGAGTTCATCTATACGTTTCCAATATTTGTGTACCTTCCCTTAATTACGAGGGGCTGTGACCTTGTCCTATGATAGGTAATCATTGTTAACATTACTTATGCTATAAAACCTTTCAGTGAACAGTTCCTAAAATAACTTTTTTTTCCCTCAGTTTGAAGAACACTTTAATAATCTGAAGAAACTTTCCCCACTATTAAAGACCTTTTGCACTTTGGTTCTATAAATGCTCTTCATGGCTCTTCTTTGAACCATTAATGCCAATAAAGAACCTTTATTTGTAAGAGTGTAGGTAGAGCTGTGATCTAAAAGTGGCTGGAGTATCATTTAGCAAACTGAATCTGCTGCATGCTTTCTTAAGTTGCACCTTGCAGATATATAGATTTGATTGTGGCGCCAGAACAAAGTGGAAGAAGTTGGACTTTCGGAGATTGGAGGGAGGTTGCTTTTCAAAGTGAGCACGGGATAAGGCCACTCCACTACAGGAGCAGGGTTTGGGAGAATAAACACAGATGCTTGATTTATTCTTTCACAGTTCACAGTTCAATTCAACTGGCCATAAACTGATACAATACCATCCACTAAACTCAACAGTCTCTGACAAGATATTAATGAAAGATACTTCCACAACTGAATCTCCACTGAATGCTGCACTAATAAAAATGCTTGTGTCTGAATCTTTATAACCTAGTCTTGCTGAAAACAGTAACTATTTTAAGCCTAAAAAGCTTATTTTGAGCATAATGTAGTCACAATAAAAATATTAGGAAAAGCCTATATAATTCAGCAGTTGTCTTGCTCAGATTGTGTTAGTTACTCTCACCAAATTCGATGACAAGTTCTTGCATTTTTTTAAATTTAAAAGCTAAATCTTTGAAGAAAAATAAAATCGGAACAAACTTTTGTGTTTGCAGCAGTATCAGTATCAATATCAGTATAAAGACACATTGTTAGCAATGCACTTTTTTATGTCCAACAAATCAGTTGTAATTGTTCTAATAATATATAATTTGATTAAATAATGAAAATGCACATTAATAAAATTCGTCACAAGCGTGAAAAAAAGCTAAAATACACTGCAGTTCAGAAAGCAAATTGACAGCTAATGAATAATTATTCATATAGATGTATGTCTAACAACAAACAGCTGTCTATGGCCGCGTGAGTGGTCTCTATATTTAGGATGTTTTGTGGAAACGCAGCTCTCTTAATATCGATTAATTTAGGCTATAGAATTATGAAATCAGAGAGGGGGAAAAATCGATCAAAACTTTAGATTTGTGTGTTTTCGTTCATATTATGTTGTGTGTTGTGTTGTGTTGTGTGTGTGTTGTGTGTTGTGTTGTGTGTTGTGTGTTGTGTTGTGTGTTGTGTTGTGTTGTGTGTGTTGTGTTGTGTGTTGTGTGTGTTGTGTTGTGTGTTGTGTTGTGTTGTGTTGTGTTGTGTTGTGCTGTGCTGTGTTGTGTGTTGTGTTGTGCTGTGCTGTGTTGTGTGTTGTGTTGTGCTGTGCTGTGTTGTGTGTTGTGTTGTGCTGTGCTGTGTTGCTGTGTTGTGTGTCTCTTTCACTCGCTCGTGACTCTGTCACCTCCAGCTATTGAAGACCGAGCTCTGAAGCAGAAGAGCTGACCTGTTGCTAGTTATTTTTGCAATGCTATAGAAAACAAAAGATACTCTTACAGTTAAGTAGTAGCCTAATAGAATAGAATACTACTACTGTAGCCTACTTAATAATATATAATATAGCCTACATATAAAAAATAATAACGCACGTGTTATTGAAGAGAAATATTTCGACAACTCGTTTAGACTGATACTTATTTTAATCCTAAATTTATGCTCTGTTATTTTGGATGGTAAATAAATAGTTTAACATCTGTGTCGTGTGCTGTTTCGGCTATAATCAGAGGACTGGACAGTTAATAATTTAGAATTTTTTTTCTTTAGGTGGTGTTTTTACATGCATGTAAAGACTTCAACTAATTAAAAGAATTGAGTGTGCATCCGTGCAGAACAGCCTACCTCTGTGCCGCTATGTTTGCGTCAATAACGCCGACATTCCGCACCCAAGAACGAACAGGATCCATTTCTTCTTCAAAACTTCCCACTTTAAACCCAGTGATGTTTCCAGTCGGGTGATCTTGGCTCCCAAACATTTACAACAAGTTTGCAATGACAAGGCAACCTCCTGTGCAAATCCACAATTCTGCGTAGCACTCAGTAGATGTGACGATTTCCCCAGTTTTTTACAATACCGAGATTCTCCGAAATAGTCCGTGAGTTAGCTACTCCGTGCTTCTTCTTCTAAGTTTTTCGGAAACGTGCTGTCTTGGCGTATATTCGCCCTTCTTCGAGATCCATTCAAACTGCACGCTCGCGCATTACCTGTCGCTCACCTGTTCCGCAGGAGCACCATTCACTGCCCGAACAACGTCTGCTGATATAAAGCCACTCGGGGTAGGAGTTGAACCATCCACAAGATGCTCTGAAGAGGTTATGTGCTGTAACTGCTGAGGATGGATCGTGCCCGGTTAAGAGCAGGAGACGGCGATGATGCTGCAGGGACCCACAGTATGAATGAGCTCGGAAAAGAGGAGGGGCGAACCCGAAGCCGGAATAATAAGAAAGTCCTAGGCGTTCTTGTTTGTTTGGAATAGCCTATATTCAAAGGACATCGCTTAGGAAAATGGAAAAAGTTTTATTTATTTAGAAATTAATGTTCAGTTCATGCACTAGTCTTTTTAAAGCACATCAGTTGCCAAATTAGCTACTACAAACAAACAGGGCACATCTTTGGAAACGAAATTAGAAATTAGAGTAAAAAAAAAAAAAACCTTATACCAACCATCTGCCAGCACGCCCCGGAGTCAGCTGTGTCTATTATGTGACCTGTTGCGGAATCCACGCGCACTCTGCAACGGATAGCATACTCACTGTTTTATAGATCACTAGCCACACCACTGCTACATTTGTATTTCATATTTAAAAAAATTAAAAAAGATGTTGTTTCGTAATCGATAGTCTAATACATATTTCTTAACTTTAATTTTTCGAGAAGCTTCCGCACCGGAGAGCTGAGGCTAACCCGATCTCATGAAAGTGCGTATAAATAGTACGCCAAATAAAAACGAAAACTCGTGGTATTGATACGCAAAAATGGACTTTGGCGTGTATATGCTACGCGATGGGTAGAATTAGGGTTGTGGGGTAGATGCGTATCATATGCACGCCAACAAATTTCGTATCATATGCACGCGAAAACTGAGTATCATATG